CTAACGGTTGTTTGTATCACCTAAAACTAATCGCGATAGATATAGGGTTATATACATTTAAATGATCATGATGACAAGTATAGCTGAAATCCGGGTGATTGTTTGCCCGTCCATCCGTCTGTTTGTACAAGATGTAAAAGTTGTGATATCGTCATGGATCTTTGTACGTGCGTTTCTTGGCGCCCAAAGGAAATCGGTATTGCAGATGGACGTAATCGGCCCAATGCCACGCCATTAAACGAAAAATTATAAAGTGCCATAACTAACCTTTAAATTAAGATTTATAAGTTGATCTTACTATTATAGTAGTAAAAAATCTATATATAATTACCCTAAGAAAAAAGTTTGTGTTCCCCTTTCGACTGTGTTGCCGTTGACATATATGGGTAATATTATACCGACGGAGAAGACGTGCAGAAGTGCATGGCGTTATTTTTTTGCATGTACGTGTGAGGTAAAAATGCGTTGGGGTAAATTAGGACAGTAGTATACAGAAGTATATTTAGTCGCTGTTCTCTATAAGTAGCAAATACATACTTACATCGGATAATTCTATATCGTTTTATTGTGTTTGAATTTTGCATGTTGCAACACTGAATTCTGTTTAATTACATTATTACGCAGGTTAAATTTCAAGTATTGTTTGTGAAAAAACATTGAAGTGGAGTGGTTATGCCTTTGATATCATTCGTTTCATTTCGGTGAGCTAGAAATTTTGAAATTAATTACAAGTGCATTGTGTAATACTTGTAGTTAATTTTTCGAAACATTTTTCTCCAAGGTTAATTTAATGTAGTGGTTGAATCGACAATATCAACTACAACTTCGAAATAAGAAATGAAAGAATTTTTTTTTTCTGTTTTCTTTCCATGCGGTTGGCTTGTTCCAACTTTTAACGAAAGTTGAATTGACAACTTGTATTTTATTTTCGTGATTTAGAAATTTTTAGTTAAATTTTAAGTGCGTTGTTTGATAATTCAACTTTTTACCATTTTTTTCCCAATGTTAATTAGTTGGTTGAATCGACATCAACAGCACTTTAATTTGAGAGATAGTTTTTTCGTGTGTTTTGACGATATCCCATTACTTCCTTTATTATTGGCGATTTTTTTTATTAACTTTCAATTTGTAAACAAAATTGTGAACATAATTTGTATGTTGGGCGATATTGATTCCTAATCAGTCATTCATTCAGTTTTTTTTTTTTTTGGAAGTGTAGTGTCGTCGATGCGCACACATACGTCTATTTCATCATGCCTTACCGTAAATAACTTACAGGGGGAGTACAGAGACCAAGAAATAGAGAAAATATGCAATTAAGTAGAATACGAAATGTAATTAATATGAATTATAAATTCGAATTTTTTTTTGAAATTTATTTTTGTGACTTGTTTTCTACAACTTTCTTCAGATTTTGTTCAAATTCTTCACAAAATTTTATCACTATTAACATCGTTAATAAAGTGCATTTTTTATTGGTTTATTGGAATTTCGACCATGGCGACCGCATACATAAATTACGCCCACAATATGCCATTAAAGGAAAACATCTAAAATGCTATAACTACGCACTAAATTAGAATATAAACCTGTAACTTGGTACAGGGAATTGCTATAGAAAGGGGCACCTGTGCTCTAAAAATTTAGAAAAAATGTGGCCCCGCCCTCTAATAGGTATAATGCACATATCTCTTAAGCCTCTGAAGCTAAAATTACCAAATTCGCTAGAACTATTCCTATAAGAACTCCTACCAACAGTGTGAAAATGAATGAAATCGAATTGTAATCCCGCCATCCCCCCATAAAACGGTTTTGTAAAAAACTACTAAAAACGCGATAAATCAATAACTTAATCCTCCAGGGAAATTAAATTTTACACCCAGGATAATACAAGAGGGCTTAATAAGATCCGGAGTCAAAATTGGGTGATGGGCGGGACACCGCTCACTTTTATTTGATCAATATCAACCAAATTCGGTACATAACATTATCTTAACAGTTCTATGATACATTGTGAAATTGGACGCAATTGGATTACAACCACGCCTACTTTCCTTATAGCACATTTTAAATTCCATATGATTCTTTCACTTCCAGTACAAAAATCAAGCCCTAATGAATATATTCGGATAAAATTTTGCACAAATAGTTCTTTGAGATATACCATCACAAGTCTTAAAATTGTCAAAATCGGACCACAACAATTGAATCTTCCACATACCGAATATGTCGACCTCAATGCGTAAGGCTAGCTTTTTGCCGAAAATATCGGTCAATCTGTGAGATATATTGTTGAAATTCTGGGAAAATGTTTCTTTGATAATAATATACCCTTGTGCTTAATCTGTATTTTTATAATAACAGTGTATCTTTGTGCCTAAAGTGGTCGAAAATCGGGCGGAAACTTGCCTTAGCATCCATGTAACTGATATCCAGGATTATTAAACATCCGGCTGACTTTACTCCATATGTATATTTACATATAAAATTGCTTGAATATAAATTCTCAAGTATACCTGAGCAATGTCAAAAATTAATGCAAACAGCCCTTCCATTTCTCTGCCCCGATATATCCTATAAAATGATTTCCGACTTTCTATCTGACTTAAGCCGTTTAGATTGGTCAAAATGTGTAATATTTTAATGAAATTAAGTGGACATGTTTTCTTAAGAGTAATAAAATTTTATTAATGGTTTGGCGCTCAATACAAATGAATTGAGTTTTGGTGTAAAACTCGTATCCCTAATACAATATAATGATTTTTCACACAAACTCAATATATTAAATTTAACCCCTTCAGCTGAGTTTATATCCAATATTTCTCATTTGAGGATGATTTTAGTATAATTTTCGCTGACAGGAAGTAAAATATAGTAATAAAACTAAGTGAGTCTATGACCTTCAAAATATGTTAATATGATACCAAAGTTAATTGTAATCCACACACGATTTCGTCGAACAATGAATTTTAACCTTTCGCTACATTTTTATACTCTCACATCTTGTTGCTAGAGAGTATAATAGTTTTGTTCATCTAACGGTTGTTTGTATCACCTAAAACACTTGAAATCCGGGTGACTGTCTGTCCGTCCGTCTGTGCAAGCCGTAACTTCAGTAAAAATTGAAATATCTTTATGAAACTTTGTACACATGTTTCCTGGTAACGTAAGACGGTTAGTATTGCAGATGGGCGTAATGATTTTATAGGAACCACGTTCAAAATTAGATAGTGGGCACCGCCCACTTTTAGGTGAAACCCCATATCTTGGGATCTGCTTAACCGATTTCAACAACATTCGGTACATAATATTCTTCTCATATTTCTATGTTACAGTACGAAAATGGGCGAAATCAATTTACAACCACGCCTATTTCCCATATAACATCATTTTAAATTCCATCTGATTTTTCACTTTCCAGTATGCAAGTCAAGCAACAATGATTATATTGGCGTAAAACTTTGCGTGAATAATACGTTTAAAGTATGCCACCTTGTGACCAAATATTATCTAAATTGAATCAAAACTGTTCAAACCCCTAAGGAACTGAATATGTGAACCCCAGTGCCTATAGTTGACTTTTTACGGAAAATATCGGTCAACATAAAACAAGGCGGCAAGATCCACAAAGAAATCTAAAACGAGTATACCATTTAACTTTGCAAAAGTATAAAAAGTTCTGCCAACAGCTGAAAGCATTGCTCCTTGCAAAATGCAATGGTATAAAATGCTCCGTTACGCCTGAACGCATCTCTTCCTTACCTGTTTTTTTTTATCTGTTTCGAATGAGAATAAATAAGGTTGGACATACTCTGAAAAATTAGGCAAAAGTTCATCAAAAATATATGCTTTATTTTTTTAGATCTTTAAACAATAACGAACTTGTGAATATTCCATCCGACGAGTTTACGGGCTTACCAAGGTTACAGTATTTGCAAATTGATAACAATCCCTTAAGATGCGATTGCGCAGTGCATTCATTATGGAAAAAATATTTTAACGGACCTAAAAAAACTATTAATCAAATCATACTATCGTGCGGATCATCTTCAGCGACATATAAAAAGTTCGCAACACTTGAACCAGAGGACTTCGAATGCAGTAAGTAAAAATAATATTATATCGCAACAGCTTCATAATTCTCCTACCGTATGGCCTGCCATATCATTAATCTTGCTAGCTGGCTCACAATTGAATTATTGTTCATCATCCTACGTGCTAAAAAATAATAATTTATTATATCATAAAATAAATCGTTCAGATATCCTTCGATTTATAGTTAAAATAATTACGGAAATATGATCGTAGAGATAGATATTATATTTACTAAAAATTTCTGCGAATTTTACCAAAATCTGAATGCTAGTTTAACCAAACTGAATGGGAAAAGTGTCAAATTGGGTAAAATCGAATAATAACCACATCCACCTCCAGCAAAAATGGTTATGTTGAAAACTACTTAAAGTGCGTTATGGGACACACATAGTGTGAGGGCCTAAAAAAGGCTATTATTGAAAATTAAAAAACAAAAAAAAAGCTATTGTATCAGTTGTTTCAAAAATTTAAGCGTATATAAATTTTAAGACTACAAAGTATAATTTTTTACGAAAAAAATAAGATATTTTTTGACTTACACGCGATTTTCCACTGCTGCGGGGATTCCGTCCTTTGTGGATAAAACCCCAAAACAGAAATCTAGGAGGTTGTTATTCGTACAATGACGTATGGTGGCGGCGTTTTTACATTGTATAGTGGACTGTCTACAGAACATAGAAAAAAAATTGGATAGTGATCGTTGATTCCGAGTAATCACTCATGGAAATTTTAAAAATGTAGTTTGGAGAAAAACACGTTTAAATATAAATTGATGGATGATTGAACTGAGCAGCTACACTTTAGAAGACTTTATCTCAAGATTTATTTAAATATTGATTAAAATTTTGACTTTGTTATTTTTAAAAGTACAACCTATCGATGTGATAAAGTGTTTTTTTTTTTTAATTTCACAATTGACGGTGTCTGTCATTTAGTGAGAAATATTTCATTCTAAATTTATTTCAGTATTTTTTATATACCTATACTATTTTTAAATTCTGTGTTGACATGTTACATAACGGTTCACTATAACTATGCGCCTTCCTGTGTTGTATTAATGAATCTAATTCGTCTACCACCAGCACGTCATTGAGAACGTCTCCTTTGGGTTGGTATAAACCATATATATTAGAAACATCTGAGTAATTTTCATTTGGCACTTAATCAGAAGGATCAGGGTCTATTGTTTCATCTATGACAACAGAAGCAGCTGGTACTTTATTCTTGTTGTGTACATACATATATTCAAGAATACACACAGAAAATTTCATATCGTTCCGGTCAATATTTTCGAAGTTACACGCAAATTTGAAAAGGCGTTTCAGAATGCTTGGAAGTACAAGGCTGGTGCGGCAGCGACTACCTAGCGTACAGGCCCCTTTTATGTACCTGCCTATTGTAAATGCTCCCTTCTAATGTATTTAGCTGTGTAAATCAACATTGTGGTTTTTTTTATACCTGAAATGTAAATTTTTATTTTTGGAATGGATATTAAATTTTATAACAGTATTTTCAGCAATTTCTGAATATGTGAAATGTAAATTAAACAGTTGAAAACAAAAAATGAAAAAAAATACAAAAAAAAACTCTCGGTGGAAAAGGCTAACTTATTGGAAAGATGATCGATAAGTTGACAGTTTATTATGGCTTAGCAATAAGGAGAAATTGTGATTCCATTAAAAAAATTTATAATGGTATTATTAGTTAATCAAAACAACGAGAGCCAGAGTCAACTGATTTGGTAAATCTCTCCCAAAATTATTTCGGCCGATTCGAAAACTCTGGAAATCGCTTCCGGCATATTTAATAAAGGAATGGCATCAATACTGTATTATATGAAGGCAATAGGAATGAAACTTGGGCCTAATGCGCATTCATTTCCGATCGCAGAGCGCCTGAGAGCATCCGAGATGGAAGAATGACTCGCAAGCAACATCAGCTCGAGTTGTTGGAAGCTGTCGAATCGGCGGAGGGTCTCTTATATGAAAAAAAATGTTATCCCATGTAAAGTACACTCCAAACTTTTACTCGTTTTTCTCAGAATGGTGTTTTCACCTTTCGCCTTCTTTTTATTACTTAATGTGTTTTTTTGCATCCTTTGTTTTTGTACGATATTGATGACCTTAGCACAAAGATATTCTATTTCTTTATTAATAACTTTTATATTATATTTGCAGTAAACAAATTTCCACAAAAGCTTAATGTATATTTTGTATTTTTCAAGCTTATTGTCATTGGCCGTATTCAGTTCTGTTTCTGCTTCTATAATAATTTGGTAACAAAAGTTCTTGATTGGATTGCCTCTGTGCTATTCGTTAGCTTTGTGTCAATCTATTCGGACCTTGACCTTTTAGCTTGAGCTCTTTTGGCTCTTGTACCAATTCTGTAACATTGCCAAGTAATTCTCTTTTATTTTTTGAGAATTATACTACTGGCGCTTGATCTCGTTACACTCTAGGGATTAAAGGATGATATTGCCTGTATGCTTATCAACAAGACTTTTAATTCTTGATTTGTATAATTCTTAAATATGACTTTTAAGGTTCGGTTCGTAAGACCAATTGATGTATATTGCCTGTTTGCATACACGACTTCTAATTTTTGGCTTGAGCTTCACATCCGGCTCGAAAGACCAAATGACGAACAAGCTAAACAATATTGTCTTACCTCTGGTGGGGGACTAAAATTGACAGACACCGACATCTAGTAAGAAACATTTCATTCTGATTTTATTTTACTTAATTCATCGCTTATATACTAGTTTTAAGATCTATTTTATCTACCTAAATGTGCGTATGGTATGTGTACATTGTTTTGTTATGCATGTGCATGTGTATTACATTGTATTGCGTAGATAATATGTTTGTATATCTGTTTAATATTTTTAATAATTTTTAATCTACGTAAATATTTTTGTATTGATAAGTGTTGAATGCATGTGTATTGCATACATAGATTTCTTTTGTGTGTCGGAAGCGTTTTACTTGTATTTTACAAATAAAATAGTACGTAGGTGATACATGTGAAGCGGTGTATAAATTGGACAATGAGCGTGCTACTGACCACTTTTTGGCGTATCTTAACGACCAATATAGCCAAATTTGAGGCGTAACCTTATCTTAATGTTACACTTTGAAAATAGGTGATATCGACGTGTTTCCTATAGAACACAATTTGAAATTCCATCAGATTACAGTATACAAATCAAGCATTTGTAAACATATCTGAATAAAACTTTTGACAAATATGTTGAAATCAAACTATACCTTTCCAAGTCTCAGATATCGGACATGAGTGCCTATGGCTACAAATTCAGCCGAAAATATTTGTCCAACTGTGTATAGTGTATTAAAGGGGTATCTTTTTCTGCTAAAAATGTTTCGGTTCAGAACTACCTATAGCTTGACAATTACGAAATTGGCACTACTGACTGAACGAAAAAGAACGAAGCGTCCATCATAGCGGCCTAAGAAATGGTAGCGGTCGATATAGATTTTAGCATATAAGGGAGAAGGATGGTAACCATTGAAATGAACGGACGCTAATGTTTTATTGGCGAGTTGTTATAATACTTTCTAGTTTAACTAAATAAACTGTGAATAAACTAAATGATACTAGTGTTGTGCAATTTTAATATTTATATACTTTGGACTTAACTAGAACCCTACAAATGGGGGCTCAACCGGGATCAAACGTAAAATAGTGAAGTAAAGGGCAAAAAAGAAAAGAAAACATACAGTTTTTTGAGTGCGCAAGTGACTACCCAGTGCGCCATCGCTGGTAGTTGATCAGCGCAGCCCCAGTGAAGTAAATATACAGTTTTTTATTGGGGATGCGTAGGCGACTGTACCAGCACGTTGGTCAGCGCAGCCCCGGTGAATTTGTGCTTTTTGAAGAAGCATTTCGTGCAAAGAAGAAAAGAGAACATACAGTTTTTTGAGTGCGCAAGTGAATACCCAGTGCGCCATCGCTGGTAGTTAATCAGCGAAGCCCCAGTAAAGTAAATATACAGTTTTTAATGGGCATGCGTAAGCGACTGTACCAGCACGTTGGTCAGCGCAGCCCCGGTGAATTTGTGCTTATTGAAAAACCGGTATTTCAGCGAACACGTAGGGTATCGCAGGCGGATCAGCAACGTATTGACGAAGACTTTGCTCGGATGCTTAAGGAGGGTATTATACAGAATAGTGTGTCGAAATACGCATCGCCAGTTGTGTTAGTTACAAAGAAAAACGGAACAAACCGGTTTTGTTGTGATTTTTGCAAAATTAACGAACAAATAATAAGAGAAATTTGTCCAATGACAGTCGTGGAGGAAGCGTTAGACAGATTGCAGGGTGCAAGTGTCTTCACTACATTGGGTTTGAAGAACGGATTTTATCATGTGCCAATAGAAACGGGTTCTCGAAAGTACACGTCTTTCGTAACCCAAAACGGCCAATATTCTTCTTTCTGAATTTGTGCCTTTTGACATCAATAATTCACCGGCGGAACTGTTATAATTTAAATGGACGATATCGTCATTCCCGCCAAGGATGAGATAGAAGGTCGAGAGAAATTAGGAAGAGTATTAAAGCATGCAAGTGAAAACGGGTTACACACCAGATGGGATATATGTCAAATTTTAAAGAAACCAATTAATTTCTTGGGATTTATCGTGGAAAACGGTAGAATTCCTTCCTTCAAAATTGCAAGAAGCAATTACAGCGATTCAGAAGTACATTCGGATTCGTCAAAATTCGGGTATGGCGCAGTGTTATTGCAAAGAGACCCAGAAGACAATCTATTGCATCCTATTGAATATATGAGCCGTAAAACATTGAGGACAGAAGAAAAGTACAGTGCGTTTGAACTTGAGGTTCTGGCAGCTATGAAAGCTTTTAAAAAATGGCGGATATACTTAAGAGATATTAGGTTTAAAATAGTAAGAGATTGTTAAGCTTTCACTATGACGGTCAAGAAACAAAATGTACCTGACAGGATTATGAGGTGGGCAATGCACCCGCAAGAATACAATTATGTAGTTGAACATAGGTCAGGAACTCGCATGAGACACGTAGATGCTCTTAGTCGCGCATACTGTTTGTTAGGAAAAAACTCGTTATAAGTAAGTATAGAATAAGGGATGCGCAAATGGGGTAACTGGATAAGAGCGGTAAGAAAAGTTATGGAAGTAAGCCATACGATAAGTTTTTTTTGCAGGAATGAGTTACTTTACAGTGACCCCGTCAAGGAATTGTTAGTAGTACCGGCCAGTATAGAAGACGAAATTATTATGCTAGTTATGTAACCAAGGTCATTTTGCAGCAAAAATGACACAGGAACTGGTGGAAAGAAATTATTACATACCAAACTTGAACGAAAGGGAGCAAAGTGTAGTAAATTCATGTGGGGAGTGCATGATTGTAGATTTGAAGAGGGGTAAGAAAGAGGGCTTGTTGACACCGATCGACAACACCTGTCAACCACTAGGGACTTACCATTACGACCATGTGGGTCCTTTAACTGAAACATGTAAAAGGTATAACCATATTTTAGTTTTTAGCGTTTTCGAAGTTTGTTTGGCTAGGGTAGGAGAAGTAATTGATAAATTAGAGAAACAATCGACAGTTTTCGGCAATCCGAAAAGAATCGTAACGGACAGAAGGATGGCTTTCACATCAAACGCTTTCAACGAGTACTGCACTAAAAAGGAAATACAACACCTGTTGATTGCAACCGGTGTCCCACGAGGCAATGGTGGAACGCGTTCACAGGACCGTGGTTCCAATGCTATCTAAGGAATGTCAAAGTCACCCGACTCAGTAGTATAAACACGTCGCAAAAGTACAGATTTTAAACAACACAGAATTCTCACAGGATTGAACATGCGTGTGACAGACTACCCAGATTTACAAGGAATTTTAAGAGACCTAGAAATAGAGGAGTTGAAAGTAGAACGCGACTCAATACGACAAAGTTCTCACGAAAATATAATACAGAAAGAAAACACACGGAAACAAGGATTTAAATACAACATAGGGATATTGTAGCTATTAAGAGAACTCAGTTTGGATTATCTACGAAATTGAGACCGAAGTGTGTGAGACCGTACAAGATAGTCGCTAAACTAATTCATAACAGATACGAGGTCGAAAAGGTATGAAATACGGAAGGACCAAAGAAAACGATGACAGTTGCGGAAAATATGAAAAATTGGACTTAATTATTCGAGGTCGAATAATAGGTCAGGACGGCCATTGTAGGAACAATATGGTAGCTTGTAGCATATTATATATATATTTTCCCAGAGTTTCTGGGAGGAACACTTAGCCTCAATAAACAAATTATAATTCTGTTTATTTAATGCTAATTTGTCTCCAGGAGCGGCCTGTTTCTTGCGACTCTGTTTCATGTAAATCTTGATCTATCCCTGTATCTTGATAAAACGGGATATACGAGTTCCTTGGTGTTGTAGATAAGCGAAATCGGGTCATTGCACCTCCAACAAAATATCGTTAATCTGAAAC